TGCGATCCGTTGCCAGACACGAAAAAAGGAAAAAAAAAAAAAAAAAGAAACCAACTTCATCTTGTTCTCAAAACCCGAAGCTCTCTAGAAACCTTCTTTCTCTGTGTTGCACATTCCATATGACTCCAAGTGCTGCAAATGCTAGCTCTGTGACATCTCTTGAGTTCAGTCTTTCTGAATTTCCTTTCAATTCAGCCCCTAATCTAGTCCATCCCCCCTCAAGTTCACAATAGAGCAATAACCCTTCACAGGGCTGTCAGAGTTATCGCCCCTAAGCTCAGCTCCTGTGGATTTCCTTGTTCAAAGCCTTAAGTCATTCCTCCTTCCCCTCTAATTAGGTACAAATTCCCCCATTACATAGCCGGAATCTGCCTTCCCAACTAGACTGCTGCATGTCCCCTTGGCTTGAGCGTACACGCCTTCCTGAACACATGTGCGTGTCCCCCCAGAGTTCCACTTGCCCTCTTATTTCTACTCAGGATGCTCTCTTCACACTCTTTACCTTCCCCCAAATACCTTCCCACTCTTAAAGGTCCACCTAACCTGCCACCTTTGTTATGAAGACTTTCTTGGTCCCTTCTGAAGCCCAGGGCCCTGTGTCACCTCTTGTGGCACCTGTGTCCCCTCTCATGACAGACATCTGTGCCTCAGCTCATCCTCTTCTGGGCCAGGCACACGCTGAGGCCAGGGCAGGAGTCAGCCTCCATGATGTGGACTGACTGGGCTGATATCAGAAATGTGGGGACACCCCTTTCCATGGACGCAGGCTTTGATGGGAGGAGAGAGAACAAGGACATGGAGTCTGACCTTGGGCAAATGGGGTACGGGGGCACCAGGTCCCCAAGGGCCTATGGAGAATCGCAGAGCCAGAAAGGTTCCCAGCATCCACATGAGGCAGCCCCTCATTGTACAGATAAGGGGGCAAGTCTCAGGGAAGGGAATGGAGTGGCCCAGGGCCATGCAGCTAGTCAGTCCCATTCCCAGTGTGTAAGAGGATCAATTCATTCCAGTTCTTTCCTTTCTTGCAGCCCAGCTTTCTCACCACTCCCCCGTGCTCCCCCAGCGATTTTTCTGGTATTGACACTATGCTGGCAAAGGGCAGACATGCTCGAACAGCTTTCCCAGGGAGCCCTGATTTCCATGGGCCTCCAATTCTGTGGACAGATGCTTAGGACCCAGCCCAGGCCCAGGGAGGACCTGCAGCAGGGGGAGGAGGTGTTCAACATTGGTCACTGGAGGGTTGTGGTTGTCCCATCCCCACCCCCACAGCACTCGTGCAACACAAAAATATTTCAGAAATGTTTTAATGCCACAGAGAAATCCAAAACCTGTGGAAAGCAGCAGTCGTCCTGGGTGCCTGGAACCAGGGCTGTCCCCTGGAGGGGACATCAGCAGGCAGGAGGCCTGCACTAGCCTAGGGTCCTGGGCAATTTTCTGACATCCTTTGTCCTCTGTCCTAAATGCCCCAGGTTCCCTCTAGGCCCAGGGAAGAAAGAGGAGGAAGTAGAAAAAGAGTAGGAGGAGGGTGGGTCTCCCCAGGGTTCTTCCTGCTTTGGGACAGTGACTCACCCAGCAGGCCCTGGCAGGGATGAGCCCTAGACCAGTCTAAGGCAGGCGAAGCCCGGGGCTCCGGAAGGAGCGGAGGGAGGTTCTTTAGATGCAGTGGCCAAGAGTAGTCACCCGCAGAAGCTCGAAGGTAAGGCGAGCCTGCTCCCTACCCCCTCTGCCCCAGCCTCTAACCCCTCCCTGGTGTGCACTTCAACATAGCCTGCATCTCCTGTCACTTGGGGCCTTTCTTAAGTATGACATTGTCGTACTCGGTTCCCTGCGGCCAGCCAGAGGCAGAGAAGTCCTGCCCAGCTGGGTGGACATGCTGGAGGCTGCTGGGGTCCCCGTCAGCTGTGGCCTGCCTTCTCCACGCCTCATGCTGGGGCTCCTGTGGGCTTTCATACAGGGAGAGGGAAGCCACCCCCTCAGGCTCATCATATATATGGTCAGGCCGAGGGGGCAGGGGCTCCTGGATGCTGTCATACAGAGGGTCAGACGGGAGCTGGGGAGGGACTGCCAGGATGCCTCTGAAGCTCTTCTCCAAGGAGCGGGCCACTGCATCAAATGGCACCGCGTAGTCCCCCTCTAGACCCCGAGGGCGCGGGGTGGGCGCCATTGTGGTGGGTGAAGGTGGTGGCAGTGAGTCATGGGGCCGGGAGTAGGGGCTCTCCGGCCGGGGCAGCACCACAGGGGCTGTGGCTGGCTGGGGCTGGAGCCCAGGAGGGGCAGCATTCTTCTGGGCAGAGATAGCCTCTTCCAGGGCCAAGAAGATCTCGTTGCCCTGCCAGGTTTCGAATTCAAAGCTGCCCTCTCCAGAAACACAGCGCCGGCCTGCCTCGAACGAAAAGGTCACCTGGGCCAAAGTGAAAAGGGAGGCTGTTGGCCTGGCCACAGGGCAGAGCTGCATTTCCCAGACACCACCCCAGCCATAAACCCTCTACCTCCAGCTTTCCTCCACCAGAAACTGTCCCTTCTCGTCCCTCCCTGCCTCCGTGTTTTTTCCTTTCCTGAAAAGACTTCCCTCCCCTCTCCCTTCCTCCCCCTCCTTCCTCCCATCACCGAGCACGGAGCTTGGCATCTGCAGCAGATCGTCCTTGTGAAACATCGGCTGCTCCTCAGCCCTCTAGCTTCTACCTCCTTTCCTTCCTCCTCCTCCTCCTCCCGCAGATTCTCTCTTCCTTTGACGGTCCCCTCTGCCTCTCCTTGACCATCTCTCTCCTTTCATAGCTCATCCTTTCTCCCCACCTGTCCCGCTGTAGCTCCTGACTCACCTTGTCCCGCCCAAAGCGCCGGAGGAATCTGTAGGGCCAGTTGTATAGCTGGGTGCCTGGCTCATGCCCACCCCACAGCTCCAGGGTACTCTCCCCAGCGCGGAGGATATAGGATCCTCGGAGCTGGCACCTCTCACTGGCTTCTGTGGGTCTTATAATCACAGTAAATTCCTTGCAGGGGACCACTGTGGAGGAGAGGAGAGAAAAGGAGAAGGCTGTCAGTGGGAAACAGCTGGCCCACCTCAACCCTGCCCTGTTCCAGAAAAGTACTACCCATGTAGCCTTCACCCCAGCCTGGATGTTGAAGGCTCAGCTGCTCCGTACCAGGTCACACTCCCCAGGACACCAGGTACCTCCACCTCCTCCCCTAGGAGACATCATGCCCTAGCCACATCCACCCCAACCCAGTGCCCACATCCTTCCTGCTGCTGCTGCCAGATCCACAGCCTGTCTTCTCCACCCCATCTCTCACCCCTAGCCAGCTGCTGCCCCAGTCCCTACTATTGCAGCTACAGGTGAAGCCCAGCCCTGCCCTCCCACTGCAGACGCCAACCAGTGCCCTCCGTGGGTGGCGCTTACATGGAAGGCAGATGAACAGCTTCTCCTGTGTCCACCAGCTCCCCACACATCCCCAACGCAGAGGGCAGAGGCAGCGAGAATAGGGACTGCCTTGCCAGCAAAAAGCTCCCTCACCACAGGACACTGTGCACAGCCACGCCCAGAAAGAAAGCAATTCTTTCCCCAGACAATGGCTCAGGCCCCAGCAAGAGAGGATTCGAAAGTGACAGCCTCACCTGGGCCCCTCAGCCTTGCCCTCTCCTATCAGCAGGGACCAAGTGAGACGGGGTAAGCCAAAGGTGACACTGAGGTGGGCTCCCCCACCTTGGGCCACAGCGGAAGCAAGCGAGGGGCAGAGAGAGGCGATAAGGGAGCTGGCTGGGGCTGGGGGCAACCACAAAGCAGGAAGACGCAGCTGCCGGCCCACACCTCCTCCCTCCATGCCCCAGGAGGGTACCCCAAGAGCAGAGGGCAGCCCCTCACCTGCAGCCACTCTGCTGTATAGCTTGTTTTCCTCCATGCAGGGCTGGCTGCTCTTCCCTGCCAGCCCCGAGAGCTCTTTCCTCTGCCCCTGGGGAGGAGGACGCGGAGATAGAGGCACAGGACTCACACCATCACCAATCCCAAGGCCCACCTCTGGCCTGGGCACACCCAGCCTGCTGGCCCTGTCTGCACCCTGAATTGGGGTTCCCTAGGAAGTGCCCCAGCACCCTGACTTTGACTCTAACACCCACCCACCTCTGGCCTGGGCACACCCAGCCTGCTGGCCCTGTCTGCACCCTGAATTGGGGTTCCCCAGGAAGTGCCCCAGCACCCTGACTTTGACTCTAACACCCACCCACAGGAACTATTTATGCCCCCATCCCCAACTCACGGGGAAGGCCAGGAGGCAGATGGCCTGCATCCAGTCCCCACGCTCTGCAGTGGAGGCCGCCAGCAGGTAGAGGCGCTCCTTGGTCTCCAGGAAGAAGGCGCTGGTGTCCCGGGGGCTGCTGGCCTCTGTGCTGGCCTCAGCCACACGCAGGCAGTTACTGAGGCGGATGATCCTCCGGGCAGCCTCTCCCCGCCGTGGCTTCTCCAGGCCCTCCTGGAGCTCCAGCCGGGCCAAGGTGCAGCCCGACCCTGCATACAGCATGGCCCCAAACCGGCGCCATTTCTGAGCCCAGAGGCACAGGAGGCGAGAGATGGAGAAATGGTGATCAAAGGGGAAAAGAGGGACCATGGGAGAGGGACTGGAACAGCCCCACAGAGACGGGGAGAGAGGGGTAAAGATCACAGAAGATCCAGGGAGGCTAAGAAGATAACAGGGACCACAGGAATTAGAAAATTGGCAACCAGCCACAAGCAACAAAGAAAGAGGCCTGCGAGGATGAACAGAGATTTGCAAGAGGCAGAAAGCAGTACAGCAATGAGCCACACCAATGCAGACCACAGGAAGGTCAGCAGGCCCAGCCCCAGCAGAGACCAGACTAGAGAAGAAAGGCCTGTCCGTGGCCGAAGCCCAGAGGACAGTGGGGAGGGTGACATGAGGGCCAGGCTAGAGACTCGTTGTTCTCATTCTGGCTGAGGTCCTGAAGAAGGCCCTCTCTCTAGGAACCTCTCTCCACACCCCTGACCCTTTCTGTCTCACTACTTGACAGCTTGGGCTGAGGGGGGGAGAAGGGGAGAAAGAGAGAGAGAGGGGGGTGACCTGCTGTAGATCAGCTGAGGGAAGAGAACTTCCTCATTCCAGAAGGCCAGGGAAGGAGGAGGTTGGACACACTGGGGCCCCAAGGAAGTTGGACACACTGGGGCCCCAGCTCCCAGAGGCCCTAGCCCAAGCTTAACACCAGCCAAACACCCACTGGGGTAGGAAAGAGGGAAGAAACCTCCGCTGTCATCCCAAACTGTGCCCCAGCTGTCCCTTCCGTTCCCTTCCAAATTGTCTCCATGAGAAGTCAACATGGAGCAGGAGGGCAAGAGATTAAGTCAGCACCCTTCTTCCTCCACCCCCTCCCCCACTGAGGGCAAACGGCCCTCAGTGAAGAACACACTTTGGGGACTGGTTTGGGGCCTGGTTTGGAAGGCAGGCATCTGGTAGGGAAAGAGCCCTTCCCGGGTTGAGCTCTTAGTCTAACTTGGTGGACCACATGGTCCTAGATGATCCTGGAACATTGAACTCCCTCTTCACCCTAGGAATTTCTAGCAGCTTCCCCCCAACCCCAGCCCCTGCCCAGCCTCACTCCTACCTTTCCAAAAGTCTGCTGCTGCTGAAGATACAGGAAGCCCTGCTTCACAGACACTTCTTCCATCCTCCGACCATCTCGGGCTCCTGGGCTGCGGCTCTCCCCTTCCACTCCTGCCCTTTTTCTCTCCTCTCTCTTCTCAGCTGTCTGTTCCCCCTTCTCTCTAGTTCATTTCCTCTCTGCCTAGAGTTTTCTGCACTATTCTAGACTGCTTGATGACGACAAGCCGATAGGCCCTGTGGTTTCTTGCATGTGTGTGTGTTTTTTTCAGTTTTTTTTTTTTTTTTTTTGATGAGTGAGTTTCATGCTCAAGCTTCCTGCATTTCCAGTGAGTGAGAGACAATTCCAAAAAGCCAAATTCCAGCTCTGCGTGGGCAACCACTCAGGTACAGAAGCTCGTGTAGGGAGTCACCAGAAAAGAGTGGTTGACCCACAGGAACCAAGAGACCCAGAAACCAAATTAGACAGCAAAACAAGTAGTAGAAGCCTCCCACACTCAAGCTGGGTGCTGAGCATGACAGCTGGAAAAGACCTTAGAAATCCACCACCCCACCCACTATTTAAAAAATTAGGAAACCGAGGCTCAGAAAGGTCTGAGGGACTTGTTCAAGACCACCAAACCGGATCCCAGGTCTCTCAACTCAGTAAGAGCTGAATCACACACCTGATACTGCACACAGAGACCCATGAGACAGCCCACATGGGCACACTGACTAGACACCACTTTCTCTGTCTCTCTCTTTCTCTCTCTCTCTCATACACACAACTGTTTCGTAACATGACAGCACTCCCTGTCTGTCGATAAACAACACACATGCCAACCATGTGAAGATTCTAGAAACATGAACATCCCCTCTCGAACAGCGTCTTACCCAAGTACATGTCAAATGTTGGATGTCACCTTGTTTCCATCCTTCGTGAGCATAAGAAAGACATTTGAGTTTCATCTGGAGATTACCTTAAATTACAATAGCAATCCCTTATATATGTATTTAAAAATGCTTCATAGTTACCAAAACAAGATCACTTCATAGTTACCAAAGCTTCCAGGCATGCACTTTCACCAGCCACAATATCCCTTCACAAAGGCAGGGCAGGTATGAACACACCTGTATGCAGGTTGCCTGAGATCACAGAGTTCTGGGAGCAGAGGAGGAAGCAGAGCCCAGGGCTGCTGGTCTTTCATTCAAAGATCTTTTCTTGGCCCCTAAATGGAATCCAGACTTCGTGCAAGATGATACATTGCTTTGGGGAATGCAAGCTTCATAGAGAAATTTAACTTAGAGCCTGATGGATTAGAGAGGCATTCTGATGTGGGCACAGTGCAGAAATGTTGGGGAAACCAAGAATTAGACCCACACTATGGGCACTTACATAAAAGGGCCCATTTTCTCCATCACAGGGGTTCAGCTTCCCCAGTAAAAGGGGCACAGACAGGCACAGCTCAGGCCTTCTGCTGCACATTCTGTGTGCTGGACCCAAACAACTTGAATTTATGAATGTTCTGAGCTCTGGCGGGAAAGGGCTGAGCCACTGAACCCTGCTGCCTGGGTCTGAACAGGTTGATCCAAAGCCCCAGGGACAGCCAAGGCTGCTATGGGAACAGCGGCCCTTGTGAAGCAGCTAAGAGTATGGAAATGGGACGTGGCCTGCTCCATCTCTCCAGTCCCTAAGGAGACTCAACTCTGCCTGGGAGCTACGTGGTCTTTGCCTGATGGAGCGAGAAGAGAGGGCTTTGAGGGCCATCCTGGGGGCTGCCAGAGCAGTGTTCTTCAAACTTTAACGTGCAGACCTCATTAAAAGTGCAGATTCTGAAACAGAAGGTCTGGAGTGAGTTCTGAGATGTTGATGCTTCTGGTGGCTGGGCAACAGAATGTTCCCCCCACCACTCTGATGGCCTTCCAAGATAACTGGACACATTCTGCTCAGAACCACAGGGGGGCACCCGAGTTTACCAGATTACTGGAAAACGGTTTAAATCTGGAGGCCTGAACCCCAGGCAATGCAGACACCCTCATTCCACCCCTTGCCTGTGGAACCTGGAGATGTTCTCCTCGGGTAGCCATGTCTGCTGAAGACAGGGGTAGCAACAATGTGCTGAGAGCAACAACTCTGTAGTCCTTCAAGGCCCCTTCAACTTTCCCTAGCACGATTTGTGCAGACCCTGAAGTGAAAACACTAACTCTAGTACCTCCTGCCTAGCCTCAGGGAAACCTGTGAACAGGGAGGGGCCCAGAGACACAGCAGAGGTGCAGGGAATCAGAGGCCCTTAGGATCCCCAGGCACCAGTGATGGAAGAGAAAACATCGTAAAGGCAAGGATCCCGGTGGTTTATATTGAGGCGCAGGTGGAGTTTGGGGTGCCCCTTGTTTCTCTTTGCTTACACTGGAAAGGAAGGAGCACCCCAAATCCCACCTGTGACTCCATGTAAACCAGTGGGGCCCTTTTCTTTACAATAGCTTCTCTCAGCAGGAATTAGGAGTCACACAGATCAGAGACTACAGCTCCAAGAGCTTTGCAACTTTTTGTTACCATTCTCCTGCAGTGATTAGCAACCAAAAGGGCGTGTGAGCTTGTCTTTGCCAACAAAGGAAGGAGCAGAGAGGATACTGGGACTGCTCCTTGGGCAGGCTTGGAGATCAGGTAACTCCCAAGGTGGATTAGATGTGAGCGACTGATGAGGCTTGAGGAATCAAGATAACTGCTGGGTTATTTGGAGCAACTTGGTGAACGGCAGTGCCATTTACAAAGAAGGGTAAGACAAAGAGAGAAAAAAGTGGGGGTGGGTGAGTGGGGGGTGAAGAGAGATTTGGGCTTGGCAGGCCAGACAGTTGTACCTCTTCCTCAGTCAAGTAGGGAATCCAAAGAGTATCACTGCAATCACGACTACAAGAATACTGTATACCCACTGCACAATGCAAGGACAGGAAGCCCCTGACCCCAGCACCCCTGCCTCTTTACACTCATGGAGTTAATGACTGTTGCAAAACAAAAACAAACAAAAGATCCCCAACATCTCAAGAGCCAGGCTTGACAGAATCAACAGTCAAAAGCTCTACTTCACTTCTGCCTCCTAAATCTTCTCTGAGTCAATCTAATTGGCAGAGCCCATCTTGCATAGAGAGCCCTAACTGCAAGGAAGTCTGGGTAATGTAGTTTTTAGGTGCCCCACCTCTTCAAACCAGAAAGACATGCTATGAGGAGGACGGAGGTTGAAATGAATGCTGGGCACCAGTCCACAATATCCACAACAGAAAGGATGTGTGATTCACTACCACCATCATTTGTATCACACGTAGTAGCCCACAGTATACACAAACTTCAAACAACCAATGCGCTGGGGGCCCTGAATGGAAGCCAGAGTGGAATCCAATGGAAAACAGGAACCAGCATTATTATTATCTAACAGATAATTTCTAGTGGGAAAGACTGGAATCGGTCTCTGCATGCAGGAAGGGATGGCTTTCCCACTCAGACTGAGTCCAGGGGTCTTAACCATCACCACCAGCAGCAACTGACCCCTCTCAGGAGGTAGCCTAGAGTACTAGGTAAGATAACAATCTCCTTGGGAACATGAGACCTGTGCCGTCTGTATGTTTCGATCATCACCACTACTTGGCGGCTATTTCCATGAATGTTTATCAAGGAGAAAAGGATAGAAATGAAAACAAAATCACTGCCGGGGTTGCTGGTGAAACCCAGATCAGAGAGCAATGGCCCTGGTGCATTGGAGCAGAAAGCTAGAAAGACACAGACACACACTCGGCCTCCGCTGAGGACAGCGCCTTGTAAAAACTATGCAGGTGCCCTCGGTGGGGGCTGTCGGCGGTGGCCGCGTCTCAACGCCATTCCCGGGTGTGGTGTGACCGTTAGTGCTCGGCAGGGTGGGGGCTGCGGGGGGCCGGGGGCATGTCAAGGGGAAGACACTTGGGAAGGGAGGTTGCCACCGGGTGTAGGGGGTCCGGGCGGGGACAGACCCAGGCAGACGAGCAAAAGGCAGCGCCAACTCCCACTCCAGCGCCCGTCTGCCGGAGCGAGCACGGCCCCTTTAAAAACCATGTAAACAAAGCTTTGTTCCCCCAGCTGCCCCTCCTTCGAGCACCCCCGCGCCCCAGCTCCTTCCTCCCACCCGCCGTCTCCGGGCCGCTGACGTTGCCCGCGCCTTTACGCCGTCCCAGCGGCGCTGCGCATTCTCCAACGGCCGCCCGGGCCGCCGGGGCCTGCGCAGCCGGGCGGCGCTACGCCACGAGCGTAGCGCGCTGAGCCCCCAGCGCGCAGGCGCAGCGG